TTAAATTATGAAAATTGTTAGTTGGGCATCGACTGAAAATACATTCGGCAACGTGGAGCTTTAGGTAGTGATGAAACGTCGCTAGAACTATTCCACAGCCGCAGACAGTAATGGGGCATGAAGTAGTTCGCCTCCTCGTGGTGTGCCCTGGAAACGCTAATTATCGCACGCCATAGTCACGAGTTCAAATCTCACCCCCAGATAAGTCACGAATGACCCAAGAGCGTTAAAATGACTAAAAAAAACTGTCGTACTCTTTTTTTTTCCCCTTGGATTTGTTTTCCGTCGATCTTGTTTTCCGTGCTGAGCACCAATGCTACCGACGCCAGGAAGGGATCGAAGGGATAGTTGTGTGGATCCTTCCGGTTCCGCTACGGAGGAGCGAATGCATACCGAGTATGGCCGGGTCCTGTTTGGCGTCCAACAACGATCCCATAGCTGTGTTCGATTTGGTGAATTTTCACTTCAATTTGATTGATGAAATTTTTTCAAATAAACCTGCTATTGTACCATACTTATTTCTAAAAGACCACGAATCAATTCAAGGATTTTAATGCGGCCTGGGAAAAATTTTCACTGAAAATTCCGCATCACAAAACTGCTCACTGGGTTCCCGTCGACGACGACGGGTTTGCGAGAGGAAAATAAGCATCGGGAATGTGCTCCCGGATATATTGATTTGGTGAGTACGTTCCAGTTGAAGATTGCTCTTAGGGGTTGTTCATTAACTACGTAGACAGGATTTTAGGATTCTTGACCCCCCCCCCCCCCCTGCGTAGACAATTGTCCATGCAATTTTTTTTTTTAAATTTGTGTGGGCCGTGCATAATTGCCAACGCGACGCGACCAATTCAAGAGAATCAAATTATTTTTTATTAACGTCTCTTAAGAGTAGAGTTCAATGAAGGCATAAGCGCTTTTTCGTAGCTTTTTTGTCTCCAGGTTTAAAAGATCATCGGTAGTAGAGGCTTATTCTTGTGTGAAGGGCACCACCGTGGAGTTTGAGTTTGAATAAATCCCAGGTCCTATTATATTATTATTATATATTCAATGACAATAATTTAAAACAGGATCAAAACACAACTGGAAGAAGCAACGTAACATTGTTTGATATTCTCTAATGTATGTTCAACGTTTATATGACAGAGCAATTACCCATTTTATTTTTCCATTCCCGGAGAGAAAATTACATTACTTGTTGATATATTTAATTGTATACTTGTAAATACTCATTTAATCAGATTCGGAATATGAGTGATGGGGGAGCTTATTGTGTTCGCGAGTCTTCCGTTTAGGCTGGATTTACTGATTTAAATCTTAAAGTTTATTGTTAGCTCTTCGATGATGAAAATTTTTTAGAATAATATTATTCTCAGCCTTCGTTCAGGAAAATACAAAAACATTGTAATGCATGATAACAATTGCATGAAAACTGTTAACTGTCCAAATAACCTCGATTTTTTTCTGGCTATTGATTCATTATTAAAGTGAAATTATAAACAGCTTTCGGGGACGCCGTTTTATTTGCATATAGCTTTGCTGCGTATGCAACCACTCGACGAACACTTGAAGAAATATTATTATTTAAAAAAAAAATTCAGCTCTTCAATGATGAAACATCTTTTGAGTTCGTTGATGACGGAACATCATTGAATTTATAACGTAATGATTAGTTTTTCTCAGCCTTCACTCAAGTTAGATCCATTGTTTTAAATAAGATAAGTTTATTTTCAGATCGTTGAATATTTGAATATATGACATCATTAGATTTACATAATAATAATACACTTTTTTCAGTTTTCATTCATGCGAGATGTATGGATTTTAATTATTTAAGCTTGCTTTCAGCTCTTCGATGATGAAACACCTCTAGGATTATATTATAATATTTCATTTATATTATTGAATTTTTCAGCTTAGAGATGAACTAGCCTACAGAAGTTAAAGTAAAGTTAATGTAAAGTTAAAGTTAAGTTAAAGTTAAGTTAAAGTTAAGTTAAAGTTAAGTTAAAGTTAAGTTAAAGCTAAGTTAAAGTTAAGTTAAAGTTAAGTTAAAGTTAAGTTAAAGTTAAGTTAAAGTTAAGTTAAAGTTAAGTTAAAGTTAAGTTAAAGTTAAGTTAAAGTTAAGTTAAAGTTAAGTTAAAGTTAAGTTAAAGTTAAGTTAAAGTTAAGTTAAAGTTAAGTTAAAGTTAAGTTAAAGTTAAGTTAAAGTTAAGTTAAAGTTAAGTTAAAGTTAAGTTAAAGTTAAGTTAAAGTTAAGTTAAAGTTAAGTTAAAGTTAAGTTAAAGTTAAGTTAAAGTTAAGTTAAAGTTAAGTTAAAGTTAAGTTAAAGTTAAGTTAAAGTTAAGTTAAAGTTAAGTTAAAGTTAAGTTAAAGTTAAGTTAAAGTTAAGTTAAAGTTAAGTTAAAGTTAAGTTAAAATTAAGTTAAAGTTATGTTAAAGTTAAGTTAAAGTTAAGTTAAAGTTAAGTTAAAGTTAAGTTAAAGTTAAGTTAATGTTAAGTTGAAGTTAAGTTGAAGTTATGTTAAAATAAAGTGAAAGTTCAATTAAATATCATTTTATATTCTGTTTATACTCACGAGTGCGTGTGTGTGCGAGTGTATGCGTGCGTTTTTGTGTTTGTGTATATATTATAAATCACTACAATCAGCATTAGTTTACCAAAAACGATCCCTGCTGCTGCAAACCTTTCCCCACATCCAACATCCCAGTGATTTCTCGTGGAAGCGCAGAGGATTTCTCGGTTTCCTTCACAGAGAGTATCACGTCAACACATTCCCTCTCATTCCCTATTGGACCTGCATTCAGACACGGCCGGCGCTGGTATTGCTAAATATTAGAACTTCAATTTTTACACATTGAGGATGAATGTTAGTCCCAAACATCATCTGTTGGTTCTCTGTGTAATTGCAGCTGATCTGGTAATAACAGAGTAGCAACCGTGGGCGGTCAATAATGCTAATGCTAATGCCTGGGATATTTGGAATTGAGATGCCCATTCTCGGATTGCCGATGTTAGGTGCGCTGGAAAATGTTAACACACAGTTGAAACAACTCCCATATTGTTGTTAATTGTTAAAATACCTTTAGAAGGTTGATGATTATAGCTCATATCAGGAAGTTCATCAAGTGTAGGCAAATCATCTACAGGTTTGTTGAAACTACCCTCCATTTTTTCTTGTTATGATGATCCAATTTTTTTTCAATAGAACGCGTTAAATAATTCTTTATTGACATCAAACGAACTCATACACACATATAAATAACTACTTTTACACGAGACGTAATCCATATTGGACGTAAATGATGAAACGTAAACAAACATTTCATGTAATATTAAATGTTCTCAAACCGACATATAAGCAACTGGACAAAGAGAACGTTTGATTGAATCGATTTTCACGTTTCATTCAACTGATTCTTATGTCAAATTTGCCGCTTACATGTGTCGGTCTCAGGGAACTGAAATTTACATGACTTTTTTTTTGTAATGTGTACATAATCTCGCAAAGAGGATTATCATTGAATCATAATTTTGCATCTTAAACTATTCCAATCAATTTGAAATTGCAGCTTATGCAACCTCAACTTGATTTGGATATTTATACGATTTTAAAAGAACATCCTTATACGATTTGTGGTTTGCTGGGTTAGTAGCACATTGTTCAGATATTGATAAAAATCTAACACCGTTTCTTCTTCTTCTTCCTCTTATTTTAAGCTTATTTCTTATAGCAGATTACAGTATTGCGTGCTCTCAAATTAGTGTTCTAGATGCACTTCCACAGTTATTAATTGAGAGCATTCGATGCCTGTTCCATTTTTGCATTAGTACAACTGTGTGGCAAGTACAATCATACTCTATGACCAGGGAAGTCGAAATATTTTCCAACCCGGAAAAATTCCTAGACCGGACCGGGACTCGAACCCAGCCACCTCCAGAGGTCTTGCTTTGTAGCTGCACCTTTAGCGACTGAGCTAAGGGAGGCCCCAATCTAACACCGCTTCTTGACTTCAATTCCGTCATATGAGTTTCATTGAATTCACTTCATTCGTTTTCAGGAAGATTGTAAATATTTATATTATGCGTTCTTATAGACAATATTTTACAGCTTTTGAACTAAACGATTCGTGCACGTTGAAATCATTGATATATTTGATGGTTCTGTTAGACTTTGATGGAAATGGGCGCTTATGCCGAAGTAGTTTCTACCCTATAATATTTTTTTAAATCAGAGAGGCGACAAAACAATGAATTAAAAACACTTAGTTTAGCAATAATTTGAACATGTTGATAGTTTAAAAGTTTAAACTATATTTTAGTAAACTACATGTTCGAGATTGTGAACAATTCCTCGATATGATAAGTAAATATGCTACATTTTCTCATTTCATTTATTACACTTATCCGTCGAGTGTAGGGACTGTTCATTTTAAAAATAAGTTCATCAATTTTAAGGCGTATAAACCAATTGCTTTTGCTCAAGACTTGACAAAATACCTAAATAATTCATCATTAAATTTGGTAAACCTTTGAATTTCAAAAACATTTGTTGTTTACATTGCGATGATTTCTATCAAATTCTTTTGTTGTTTTAGCAATTCCAAATCCGAAATTTTGGTTTGGTTGGTTGAAAATTGTACATCTATAATTTTGAGTTATTAATTTTTTCTTATTTGTATATTGTAAAAGAATACTTACGATCCATACTTGCCAAAGACAGTACATGTATCGATGCTGAGATAGAAAAGTTACAATCAAAAAAATGATGTTTTATTTGTAAAATGAACAGTCCTTATGATTCAACGTGTGGTGCACAATTTTTTTTAAATCGACTTTTTGACTAAAATTCATTAGCTTTAGTTAGATAGAGTGATTTTTTTTTGCGAGGCCCGCAATGGACAATCGCAGAGTGAAAACTCGTGTATGAAAAAGTGTCGAATTCAAATCTGGAATGTAGTGGACATTTGTGACAGTAAGAGTTGAGATTGAGACTTACCCCGCTTTCCGAACCGCTCCGGTACAGTTGAACGACGCTGCGGCGGTGCCAGTGGTTTTCGCTTTGTACGGTGATGCCATCACGCTTTCCCCGTCGTCCTCATCTGACACGGCCGTCGTCAGGCTCATACGATCATCGTCGGAAATCTGTAACAAAGGAACGGAAATAGTGGAATCGGTTAAAATCATACGGCATACGGAACTGTTCTCCGAGGGTGGCATTAAATATTACGATCGGTACCGAAAATAATAGCTCCATTTTGGTGGGATCATACCTCAACATATATGTGAGGGAACAAGTAAAACAACCGGTTGAGGTGCCATCTGGCGGACGTTTGTGATTTTTTCCTCTCCAGCCGAGTGTTGGTGTTTTGCAATAAGGATCTGGAGAGAAGCTTTCGTATCGATAAGGGGATTTGTGTGTCAATGCATCTGGATGTCGTTCAATGTCATAAAATGTGTTTCACCGGAATGGAAGTGGGCACTATAGAAAATATGTAGGTGCCATCCATTCCCTCCAACAACGTCGTCGTGCATTCATTGATTTGTCACGATTCAGCAATAATCTTTTTTATGACAATATAAAACTGCACACTCGGTTGCATTCGATGCTAGAGCGTAGTACTGTATCCGGTTCTGTCATCTATTGCGGGATGAGTTTTTCTAGCGCGAGTGAAAAATCCACTCGGCTCTGGTCGCTGGAAGCACGATAAACCCTTTTAGTGCTTGAACAATGATTGGTGAACGCTTGGCGAAGCTTATACATTGTGTTTTAGGATTGCGAACGGTGGAAACTGGGTTGGTTGGATTAGAAGTGCTTTCTGTTGGCAATGGATTACAGATCGTGCAGATTTATGGATCGTGATAGTCAGCGATGTATACTAGCGGGAATAGTTTTGTGGTGTTCATAGGGCGTTCATACTAAACTCACCGATAGATGGCGTCAGTATGTGTATTGGAGGGGAAGTATGATATAAGATAGATGGATTTTTTTTTAAATAGATTTATCAGGGTTGTTAAAATTATCCATTTGAGTACCATTTTTGTATGAACGTTATGAAAAGGTGGCATTAATGTATTGGGAAGCTGATGTGCTTCAGACATGAACATTTGTTAGCTCAATTGGTAGGGATCAACGGTTGGGATATATAAAAGATTTCATCTATCTTGTTGTTTTCTACTGAATTTTGTGAGCAATGCCTTAATAGAACTGGATATTAAAAAAAAAAATGCACAAAGGGTAAGCAAGCACTGAACGTGCGAATATTTCTTTTTGTTAGGATGATTAATCCTTCGAATCACGCTGAAGATGGATTGATTATGGATCTTGTGTCTCGAATTAAAGAACTAAAGATAAAGACAAAAATATTCTGCTCAGCTTTCGATTGTACTGATGTTGACTTGTAAATAAAATTGGAAAATAAGATCTCCGATAAAATGTATTAACTGCATTGCTTTTGGTCATTAGATTTATTTCGAACGAGAAATTATCAAATGACACGACAATCATGTTGATGTGTTTCGTATATAGCGTCAGGTGTGCTCAGTAAGCTTATATCCAATGTTAGGATCAATTCATGATCTGGTGTGGTAATCTGATAATCATACTCTCTCTACTATATTTGTTTAGAATCTGTTGCAAGAAATCCACATGTATGCACATGTAGTTTCAAGTATAAGAGAGAAACGGAATGATTGGTTTTTAGTTGTTTGGCCAATTGAGTAACGCCTATCTTGTTTTCATTGGCAAACATCACCTAAGGGTAGAGTTCAAAGGAAGGTTGTTTAAAAATTGATCCGTTGATTCTAAAAAGTATAATTTAAAAATTTTTGGCGTAAAAATGCACGTTCAAACAAATAAGTTTAGAAAAAGGGTCCCGTAGACCGGGGGAAAATTGCATTATGGCTTATGGGTTGCATTTTTAGTTGTAACGTAGAAAATTTTCGGTGATGCATATCAAGACAAACCATAATAGCATTTCATCATGAAACTCCAATGATTGCTGTGACGAGTTTCTCATAACAAAAAAAGTAGATTTTACTGTATAAATTTCAATTTTATTTAACCGACGTTCAATAGCAGTCGGTATCAGAATTCAAACAATGGGTTGCAATGATTGCACAGTGTCTCAGTGGGAACTTACATTGCTGTGCCGAGAGATTGAATAGCGTCGCAAGTGGAAGGCAGAGATTGGCTACACAACGTTTTAGAACTGATGACGGAATGCCGTAAGGTTCGGCGGCGAACGAGAGCTTCAGTTTGCGTGTTGCGGTTATCACCATGTCTTCTGAAATACGCGGAATATCGAAACTAAACACATCACGTGGCATCCCAACAGGTAGCATCCAGCACTTGAGTCGGCGAAGCGGAGAAATCGTGGAACGCTTGCTTGAAATGACGAGCTAACAAGTCGCCTTTTTCTCTTTCGCTATTAGCCGAGTCATTCCCGAGAAACATGGAACAAGGCAACCCGGATTCCTTCCGTTTGGAGTTGACAAACGACCAAAAACTTTTCGGATTCGTGCGAAGGTTCGCTTCCGTGCGTCTCACGTGTCGATTATAATTTCGATAATTACGACTCGCACGCGTAGGCATGGGCTTAGCACGCGTAAATAGGCGTGGGTTAGACCATGGAGACTTTTACGGGGGTCGTCGTGCTGGGACACTGTGTAAAATAGCATCTTCCAGTGCAGCACTGAATATTAAAATCTTATGGTATTTAAATCAGTAGCTATAAGGTCTGTAATTTGGGGGATTCCCTTCTAAAACTCTCTATTTTTTAACTCTGTCACTTGGAGGTATCGCTTCCGGAATTACCATTTCCAGTAAAATACCATCCAAGCAACTTTGTGTCAAAAAGTTTCAGCAGCTTGATTGTCACTGAAATAAGTTACATAATCGTTGCCTTAACTGTTTTGCAACAAGTGTTCTGCTAGGGAAACTAGCCAAGGACTACAATCGCTAATGTAACCATTAAAATAGAATAGAAGGTAGGGTTAACTACCCCATTTCCGGCCTATTAAGCCCGCACTTAGTCTTTCCTAATCTAGCGTAGTTTAGCAACAAACGGAATAGTATCATTACTGATGGCTTCTAAATGTATTTACCTTTCCGTACGTACCGTAAGATTTCATAAAGAGAAACAAATTGTTGAGATATTGTTATAAGTCTAACACTGCTTCTTGACGCCAAACTCGGCCTACGGATTCTAAACTCGGTTTAACGCATTGACACGCCATTGAAACGCCAATGAATTCTCTTTGGCCTATCGGATGATGATAAAGATTGATTCGTTCGGAATCATTTGTTTTTTTAAGAATATTGGGTGCAAACATTCATATCACGCGTTCTTATTGACTTCGTTCGATCGCATTTGAACTAAAGCAAAGATATCAAATTAAAAAGATATCCCACTAATCAATTCCTCATACAAGGCATATAATTACTACCCGAATGTGATCGCAGCGCCATCTGTTGAGTGCACATTGAAACTGTTGGGAGTTCCCCGCCAACTTTACCACCTGGGCTCAATAACTGACAGGTGTCAGCATGGCAGATGTCAATGTGGACGTTGATGAACAGCCGAGGAAAGAGGACGATATCATCCTCGAAGTCATCATCATTATATTGCGATAGCTTTCTTACTTGTTTGTGGTTGTTCCGATTTTCAATCATTACCACTTTATACGCAACAGGGATACTTGAGAAAACCATCACACATCCAAGCGCGCATCATGATGTGCTTGTAATATGTTTTACTTTCGAGCGAAAGAGTTTCCAATATACCACCGGTATCAGTAAGATGCAAATCTCTAATAGTAAGTGTTGATTAGCGGAGCTGGTGCTCAAAAGAATCTTAATAAGCATAGAAGTAAACATGGGAAAAGCATTCACTCTCTCTAAAGAATTATTCCAACACCCCAGCCACTGGAAATGCAACGTATCGAAATCATTGCTGAAAGTAATAAAATATGCCGCCTTCTTTGGCCAACGCAGTATGCATTCTATTCAAAAATTACATTGGAATAATAATCATTACTTTCCTATTTTATAACGTAGGAAGTATTTGTCAACGTCGGTGATAGCAAACGCAAACGGAAGAAGCCGAAGCTGAATGATGACGATGAGTGATGACACCGCTTCGTGTTTTGATTTGCGCTGTACCGTCCGCTCAGTTGTGTGGGTTCGTACATGTATAGATGTTGGTGTGCGTGTTTTCTTCCAACGCTGCAGTTCAACGTTGTCTCGTCACAAACCGTTTGGCGCTGTTATCTGTCTCTATAAATTCCAAAGAGTGAAGGGGGTCTGACTAAAGTATCATACCAAAATCATAGTTAACCTATTAACGCCGAAATCATGGATTTTTTTTTATGTTTTCTGCTTGATAGGCCCAAAATGGGCGCTTAGGCCGAAGTAGTTCTCTACCCTACCCAATACATTCGTGAAAGTTTGACCTTCCTAGTTGGTATCCGGTAATTTGGCCACATGGCGTTTTGCCGAATACTTGGGAAGAATTCAGCGCGCCAAATAGTGAAACACTAAATGAATTTCAGCTTTTACCTCTCAGAATTCCAAGAAATTATTCGCTGGGGTGGGGCAATAAAATAAGTTCGTGCTGGAATTCTTTTGTTTTAGCTAACACCTAATTTTTAAAAATGGCGTGTTCATTTTTTTTTCAATAAATCATGGCATGAAAAGAGGCAGCTGTAGGAAACGGGAACTGCTTTTTCACAAAAAAAAAAACGCACTGAAAAAATTAACAAATGTTTCAGAGTTGGTTGGAAATGCTATCTAACATGAAACTTTAGTGTGATAATTTATTAGCTAGAGAATGGTCTTTAGGAGAGGGTAGGTAGATAGTTCCGTTAGAGTACGGCAGTATGAAAATTGAATAGAAGTTGAAAGTGAGCGAAGGGCCATTAATGCGACAGTACAAAGTCAAGCGCACACCTTTTGCCTAACCCGAACGATGTACGTGGAGATTTGAAGTATGTCTTCAAATCTACTGGCAAAAAGTGTGCGCCTGCCCTTGCTCATTACTATCTGCGGCTGTTGAACAAATGTTTGTCAAAGAATTAAAGAAAAAATAATTTTAAAAACTTCTATAACCAGTACATTTTAAAGACTTTTGAACTTATGTTATTTG